CATCCAGTAGAGTTGAAACAGAGAAGCTTGATTTGTCTTACACAGAACATGTTTCCACTGCTCCAGACTCCAGTGCTTGGCCATGAAACCCATTCCACGAAGCTCCCACCACACAGTATTTGAGCTAATATTAGTGGCAGTGGATGTTCGGAACTCTTCAGCCATGGAATCAGCAGAGCATTAGTGACTTTTACATACCATGCGCCTCAGCACTCTGTGACCCCACTTTGTGACTTTATGTGGTTTTCCGCTTCATGGCTGAGTTTATAAAAACATAGACATAGAAACATAGACTGTGATGGCAGATAAGAATCATTTGGGCCATCTAGTCTGCCCAATTTTCTAAATACTTTCATTAGCCCCTGGCCTTATCTTATAGTTAGGATAGCCTTATGCCTATCCCACGCATGCTTAAACTCCTTTACTGTGTTAACCTCTACCACTTCAGCTGGATGGCTATTTCATACATCCACTACCCTCTCAGAAGGTAATGATTCTACTCACCAGAACAAATTCAATAAGATGTAGTTGTTCTGGTGACTATAGTGCCCCTTTAACACTTCATTTATATGTAATGTTGTTTTAGGTATACATATAGGATATTAAAAGATAGCCCTTTCTGTATATTAAATACTATGGGTACATATAAAGAGAAATCATTAAATTACAGTGGCGGCACAAATTCTAGGTTTTGATTTGGTTCAAATGTTTAATTACCTTGGTACTGAAGTAGTTAACAAATGTAAGGTTTTTAAAATTGTATGTAAAATTTTATTTTGCAGTGCTTTACCAGCAGGTGGAGACACACTACTTCTAGAAATATATTGGTACACGCACAAAGAAACATGACTTTTTAAAAACATATTCACATTTAACTTTTTAACAAACATGAATTTTAAATTGAGATCAACAGAGAGAATCATTATCATTATGACTCTAAAATATGGTGATCACATGTTGTAAGTTACCTTAAAAGACCTGCTAAGCTCCATCTTCGTTTTATGTGACACGTTTTTTCCTCAGCACTTTAAAAACATTACAGGGAATTTAAAGAGACATTATAAGCACCAAAACAACTTTAGCTTAAAAAAGTTTTTGATGTATGGACCATGCCCCTGCAGTCTTGCTGCTCAATTCCCTGCCATTTAGGAATTACGTCACTTTATGTAGCCCCATCCAACTCTCATAGCCTCCCAAAATACATTCTAAAAAATTAAAATTCTATTTTATTTTTTTTATTACAAGGTGTGTTTCATTGAGAATGTGTTATTTACTGTTCTGTTTATTGTCTAGTAGAGCCTACAGCAGGATTGTGATATACAGAAAGGGCTATCTTTTAATATCCTATATGTATACCTAAAACAACATTACATATAAATGAAGTGTTAAAGGGACACTATAGTCACCAGAACAACTACAGCGTATTGTATTTGTTCTGGAGAGTAGAATCATTCCCTTCAGGCGTTTTGCAGTATACACTGTTTTGTTTCAGAAAAAAAGGCAGTGTTTACATTACAGCCTAGGGATAACTCCAATGGCCATTCCTCAGATGGCTGCTAGAGGTGCTTCCTGGGAAAGCATTATGATTGGCTCATACCATCACTTTTGATGATATCAGCAAACAGCAGGCAGGTCAGATGCAGACAGGGGCAGAGGCAACAGCTGCAGACTTGAATACAAGAAAGATTTTACTATATTTGGGGAGGCAAGAGGGAGCTAGAGTTTGGTTTTAACACTATAGGGTCAGGAATACATGTTTGTGTTTCTGACCCTATAAAGTTTAATAATTAAATTAACAAAGGAGGAGACCTTCTAAAGTAAACACACTACGCTGTAAAAATTAACCTTCCCCCCCCAGTAGGCTGTGTGAGTGACAGTCAGGGGAGGAGACAAATTAAGCAGTGAGCCTGTAGTGGCATGGCCTATACACCAAAACCACTTTACCAAACTGAAGATTTTGGTGCTTATAATGATCATTTAAGGCCATATGCACCTCAGCAGCATTCCATGTATGGGCAGCTATCCGTGCCTAAATGTACATTGTTAGTGAAGCCAGTTGTGTATTTGACCCACCCACTGGCTCCTCCCACCCCTCCCTCTCCAGAAATCAGTTTGGCAAAGTTGTCAGATGTGGCTCTAGTAATTTTATTTAATAATCTTTTGTGTGAAATATAACAATACTAGAAACTGCTACCCTTGAGGGTGCTGGCCCACACTAATGCATACCAGGAGATGATTGGGGCTACTGATTACTGCCAACTACTATTACAAGTGACGCTATCAGAGCATACAAGCAAAGAGCCTGGCCTAACTGGAAAAGCTCAGGGGCCTGCATGGGGCCCTTAAGTGGGTATTGGTTCTGCGATATGGCATGTAATATTGCCACTCTCCATCTCTCACACTGCACTGCCATGCACTAGCTGGAACACATGGCATGCAAGGTCAAAATGCCTGGGGAGAGTAATGGTTAGGCACAGTAATTTATATGGCTGTTACTATTAAAGGAAGAGCTTGGGGCTAGGGGTTTGCAGTGGCATACTAATGTGGGGGCAGTTCGTCCCGGGTGCCACTCACCAGGGGGGTGCCATTACTGCTAGTGTCATTAGTCACCCTCCATCCATTAGTGGCCCACAGTAATATGGAGGAGACAGGGGAAGAGTGGTAAGGCGCAAAGCGTCATGCTGACGTGCGCCTTCTGTTCGCCTTCATGGATCTCCAGGATCTCCGATCTGATGTGAGGGTGGCACTGAGGCAGCAGTAGCATTGTGAGCCTGAAGCCGGAGCACAGCTTCTCTATAATAAGAGTCATCCTTAATTGTGAGTAAAGAATGCAAGCGGTACAGGATATTTATGTGAAGGGGGTGTATGAACTTTATGTTAAGGGGGAATGCAGGGTTTTTATGTAAAGGGAGTGCAAAATTTATCTTTAATAGTTCAAGTTTTTTCAAGTTGCTAAATTGTTTACAAATTTGTGCAATAAACCTGAAAACATTTTTAAGAATGTGTGGGTGTTTTTTTTTTACATTTAAAAAAAAAGGGGGGGGGGGCAAATGCTCTAGGTATGCCCCTGGGTGTTTATAAGTAATTGACTGTGTCTGTATCTCTGGCTATATGTCAGTTTGACAGTGTGTGTGTATCTTTGTGTGTGTGTCTGGTTGTGTGGTTGACATTGTGTGTATGAGTCTGTGTGTGTGTCTGACCGTGTATCAGTGTCTGACCATGTATGAGTCTGTGTGTGTCTGATAGTGTATGTGTATCTTACTGTGTATGAGTGTTTGTGTGTACATGTCCAAATGTGTGCCTCATGCTGTGTGTGGCATATGTTCTGTTAATCTGCATATGTATACCTAACAGAGTGTGTGTCCAACATTCTGTAATTGTTTGTGTTTGTGCGTGCATGATAGTGTTTGGCAATGTGTAAGTTTGCATTCTGGAAGAGTGTGTGTATTACAGTTCATGTGTGGCAAGGAGTGTATATCTAGTTGAGGGAGCCTGGACATTTTTTTTAAGGGGCCCTGAGATTTCTTATGTCAGTCTTGACTGTGACAAACTCCCCTTCCTACGTGAGTTTGCCACGAGCTCCTGGAGGAGCCTGCTTGCCAGCCTCCTGCCCACAGACTATGGGCCCTGCAGGGAAACCTGTAAAAGACTATTTAACTGGCTTGGTTCGTGTGAATCCCCTATGCTGTTCGGGGACCGAACTTCCGCATGAACTATGGACCACCCGAGAGCTTGTTAAGCCTAAAGGATACACTGTAACGATCCTAACCACAGTGTTCTAATCGTTCGTCTGGGTGGCAGCAATTCGTATGAACAACCACGAGGTGGTGGCCATCTTGTTCGCATGAACACAGGCAGCGGTGTTTGGTCGTCGAGTTCATGGAACTATTTTCGGACACTGAAACTCCCGAACACCGCTTCCATGATCGCCTGTGTTCGGTTTTATATAACTTAGGAGAACACTGTTCGGTGGGATCGTTCGTCTGGATGAAGGGAACAAGATCCACAGTATGGCAATGGATTCTGTTCAGTAGTTTGTTCTCTTTTAAAACTATTGAACTTGACCGACCGCTACCACTTTCCCCCTGGAATTGTTTTGGGCATTGGACCATGTGTGCAGTCGGTCAAATTATGACTTCCAGGAAAATATCAAACCCCTGAACCAATCTGGGTGAATTTTTGATATGTTGGTCACCCAGATCAGGGTTATCAGGGGGATGTAACCTTTGTGGGGTTTTTATGTATTTTATAGGTATTTTTGAGGTTTTGTAATATTGTATGTTTTTTCTATGCCTGGAAATAATTGAGTTAGTTCAGTTCCTGACTCAATTATCTCTCAAGCACAGAGGTGGAGTTTGTATCTTGTAACTAGTCCCCTCTCAGGTTCAGAAGAGGGATTATCCTGTTTGTTTGGGCGTGTCAGGGTTGTGTTTACTGTGTCCCTGTATTGTATAAAAGCAGGCCATTCAGCCTGGATTAAACACATTTGTTTTACCCCTTCATGAAGTCTAGGCTCATGTTTTGGGGATTGGAGAGCTCTAATCACTACTCAGTCGGAGTATAGGGTATCCGTTACACTGGCTAGTATATAGCACACCAACATCAAGTGTGTATAATTTATGGTGTCCTACTTGTATAAGTCATTATTGATGGGTGTCCCTTCAGCCCATTTAATGGGGGCAAAAGAGCAGTCTGTCTTTGTGTTGCTTCACAGTCATTAAAAGAATACTCCATTGAAAATTGTGTTTGATACATATTTTAACAATTTAGTAGGTGTACCCCCAAATAACATGCATGTATTTTTTTTTCTGCATGTTTTCTTTTGGGGAATATTACAAAATTGCTTGCAAAAGCAGTAGACCTGCTTTTTGCAGCCTTTGCAGACCTTCCCAGACAGACTTTCGGTGTATGCCAGGTGCTGTGGACAATTCCTATATTCCATATTGAGTTTAGCTCCACTGAGCTAACCAAACCAGGAAGTAACATACCCTGTTGTCTGCTTGATAGCAGGTGGGTGTAACCATGATAATTTATAAAAGTGTAAATTTCTATTGAAATCTGTACTTTTTCTAAAATGAAAAAGAGGTCACACTTCACAAACAAAGTAAAAAAGCTAGTTAAAGTGTTTTGTGCTTCTGGAGTGTCCCTTTAAAGAAGTGACATGTTTTAGTTTTCTATGTTTTATCCAAGTCATATTTTCACTGATACCTACTGGACAGTGTGTCAATTGTAGATGTTATTTTGCAACAGGTCAACCATTAGTGAACAAGCAACATTGAGTTATTACACCCAAATTTAGAGAAGTCATTTGTGGTTAGTTCTGTTTCTATATATGTCTGCATGTGTACAAATGTTTGATCAATATTAATTATGAAGAAACATAATCTTTGAATTGCTTGTGCATTTATTTATTACAAATGCCACGAGGTCACAATGCAGAAGCGGCCTATTCTCATACAGAAAGCATTTCTCAGATCATTTTGTAATAATTTTCTGCTCCAGTTCTCCTGGCTCTCAGCATGACTTTAAGTGGTGTTCTTTCTTGCACTGATCATTTTATATTTGTGTATATATTTGTAAATGTGTAGTTACACTGGATAAATGTAATGATTTTATTATAATAAATTTATATAGCACTGTAAGTGTAGCAACATTCCAAACGTTTTGCAGACAATTGTTTTCTTTAATATACATACATAAGGTGGTGCTATTGGGTTGAAGTTCAATGCAAGTCTGTAACAATACAAAATAACAGGATAATAGTGCAGTATTGTCAGACAGGGGCGGACTGACCACTCGGGCACTTCGGTCATGGACCGAGGGCCCGAGGCAGTCAGGGGCCCGGCAGCACAGCCATGTTCCAGCTGGAGAGATCAGAGATCAGAGATCTCTCCAGCTGGAACGGAAAAATAATAAAATAAAACTTTTTAATTGATAGGTTGTGGGGCCCCTGATGCAGCGCGGGGCCCCCACAACCTACCGCTCTTCAAGTCACCCCCCCCCCCATGAGACCTGGCAGCTTCACCTCCTCCCTGCCAGGTCTCCTGCTTCCTCTCCCATGCGGCTCTGTGTGATGGGAGAGGCGGGGCCAGGAAGTGACATCACTTCCTGTTTACTCCTCTCACACACAGAGCCCAGCATGCTGAAGGAGCAGCAGGCGGGTAGAGAAGAGGGAGCAGAGATGCAGGTAGGCACCAACCACCCCCTTCCCCCCCCTCACTATCACCAGTCCCTGTCACTAGTCCCCTTCCCCCCCCCCACTCTGTCACCCCTCACTGTCACTAGTCATCCCCTCCACTGTCACTAGTCCACCCCCCCGCTGTCACTAGTCCACCCCCCCGCTCTGTCACCCCTCACTGTCCCTAGTCCACCCCCACTGTCACTAGTCATCCCCCTCACTGTCGCGATCACCCCCCCCACTGTCACTAGTCACCCCCCACTGTCACTAGTCACTTACTGTCTGGTCATCCCCTCACTTGTGCTGGTCACCCCACTGTCACCTAGTCACCCCCCCTCACTGTCACTGGTCCACCCCCCCTCACTGTCTAGTCACCCCCCCACTGTCACTAGTCACCCCCCCTCACTGTCACCTAGTCACCCCCCACTGTCACTAGTCACCCCCCCCACTGTCTAGTCACCCCCCACTGTCACTAGTCACCCCCTGTGTCACTAGTCACCCCTCACTGTCCTGAAGTCACCCCCCCCTCACTGTCACCAGTCACCCCCCCTCACTGTCACTAGTCACCCCCCCTCACTGTCACTAGTCACCCTCTCCCTCACTCTGTCACTAGTCACCCTCTCCCTCACTCTGTCACTACTCACACCCTACCTCACTCTGTCACTAG